ACCCAGAAATGCTACAGAGAACCATGGCACAGCATCATCCTGGAAGTCACTGGTTTCAATCTTTTGCCTTTTGTTCCCCTGAAAGCATGGGCCAAGGAAGGAGGAAGCCCTAGATGTCTGTCTTCCATGCTCTAAAAATTCTACAAAGGCACCCCAAGCTGAGGATGGAGGAGTGGGGCTGGAGAAGGTAAAGCATACCTTGCTCAGTAGACTCAGCTCTGTTTACCAGGTCCACCTGAAGGGTGTGATCTTTCTTATCTTGGAGAGATAATTGCTATGAGTGAAGAACAGGTTCTAGGTAACAGTAAATATGTCCCCAAGGGAGCTGAAGGGAAAATCAGTTTAGGTTTTACGTTAAATATTTTCTGAGTTCTTGTCATTGAACAATTTCAGTGTCTCCCAGTGCCTGGATGAGTTCAATTATAGTCACTGGATTATAGGATCATAGGACATTGGAACAGTCTTCTTCAACCCACAAAAGCACCTTTTTCATGTGTCCGTTTTTAACATCTGTTTTTACACATCTATGCAGTTTGGGTTTTTTGGTTTGTTTGTTTGTTTTGGCCATGCCGTGCGGCTTGCGGGATCTCAGTTCCCCGACCAGGGATTGAACCTGGGCCACAGCAGTGAAAGCCCAGAATCCTAACCACTAGGCCATCGGGGAACTCTCACCACAATTTGTCTTTGAAATCTAGAACATATCTATTCAAAGTTTGGTTTGTGGGCTTCCCTGGTGGCGCAGTGGTCGAGAGTCCACCTGCCGATGCAGGGGACGCGGGTTCGTGCCCCAGTCCAGGAAGATCCCACATGCCGCGGAGCGGCTGGGCCCGTGAGCCATGGCCGCTGAGCCTGCGCGTCCGGAGCCTGTGCTCCGCAACGGGAGAGGCCACAACAGTGAGAGGCCCGCCTACCGCAAAAACAAAAACAAAAACAAAGTTTGGTTTGTGGACCAGTGCCCTTCCACAAATTCTTGATGGTTCATTTTCCTGGTACTTCATTTTTATTATATTTTACGAAAGTATTGTTCCATGACAGGTCAGAAATTTGTTTTAACAAGACTGCTTCCCTTTCCCCATCTGTAAAATAGGCATAATAATATTGCCTATTTTTTAGGGATGTTGTGAGGATTAAATGAGTTAAAACATGTCAAACACTTAGAACAGTAGTTGACACTTACATGGTAAATGTTCAGGAAGTGCTTGACTTTTCTTTTCCTTATCCACTAGTGCAAGTATCACCTTGTTACTCTTTCTCAAAAATGTCTTGGTTATTGGTATATATTTAATCCGTCAGATGAAATCTGGACTCAATTTTTCAGTTAAAATATATATAAATGGGGAACTGATAGATTTTTTTTTTTCTGATAGAATTTTTAAAAGAGAGAAAAAAACCCCACTTGTTGGCTCTACATCTACCTGGAAATAAAACACATCACTTCCACTCATATTTTATATATGTGAGCAAAGCAAGTCACACGGCTCTGCCTATTGTCAAAGGGGAGGGAAGTGTCATCCTCCATGTATCTGGAAGAACTAGGAACCAGATACACAGTTACACCCTCAAAGAACCTGTGTTGATGCTTTTCCAGTAGAATGGCTCTTAGTCCTTTTTTAAAAAAGATCAGTTAAGATTTACACAGAATATTCCCACATACCCTTCCTCACCCAGCTTCCTCCAGTGTCAACATCTTACATAACCAAAAAATTAACATTGATACAATATTATTAACTACATATGTGATTCGATTTCCTCAGTTTTTCCACTAATATCTTCATTTTGTTCCAGGTCCAATCCAGAATACCACATTGCATTTAGTCATTATGGCGCCTTAGTCTAGTCCTTCGACTGTGACCCTGTCTCAGACTTTCCACAGTCTTGACACTCTTGGAGATTTCTGGTCAGATGTTTTGTAGAATATCCCTCAGTTTGGCTTTGTCTGCTCTCTTCTCATGAACAGACTGAAATTATGAATTTAAAGGAAGAATACAAGAGATGATGTGCCCTTCTTGTTACATCATATCAAAAGCAGTGATATCAACATGACTTATTACTAGTGGTGTTAACCTTGATCACTTGTAAGGTTGACGTGATGTTTGCCAGGTTTTTCTTACTGTACCTTCTCCATATTGTTTGTTAGAAGCAAGTCATTAAGTCTAGCTCATGACACTCAAGGGGAAGGGGATTAAGCCTCTAAGAGGGAGATATATCAAAGAATTTGTGGTAATCACCACAAAATCAGTAAATTTTGAGGTAAGTTTTTTTAGACTGCAAATATTCTGTTTTCACTGACTTTTTAATATTCATGCATCAATCTTGCCAGAGCAATTATTACTGTGATTTTCTTTTTTTTTTTTTTTTTTTTTTTTTTTTGGGTATCCCGGCCCCTCGGTGTTGTTGCCCTCTCC